GCTTGAATCAAGATGAAACTTCATCTTATAGATAGTTTTTTTTACTTTGTGAAAATCTTTATTAGTAGTCTGGACACCTTTTATATCATCTTAGTCAATGAATTTAGAAGAGGGGTTATCCACGAGATATTGCTGACACGTTTTTCTGATCTGTACTTGACACAGAATGATTGAATCTGTCACTGACGTACTTTTCATATTCATTGTGAATAATGGTTTGTAAGTTTGCATTGCTACTAGAGAGTTCTTTCTTTAAAAAACCAACGTTAACTGCATGAGTGTTCTCATACGAGATTTTTGTGTACAGGATCAAAATCCTTACAATCGGATAAAGCGGTTTGACAGTTTAATTTGTTATTAAGTTTCTTTTGGATATCATAGTTTCTATCACCGGTCAATTTAATACCAACACCAACTGATCCTTGATGACCAATGGGGCCGGGGGGCCCTGATCTCCGTTTGAACCTTTCAAATGTCTTCAAGGTGAATATCACTATTAAATTCTCCCATATATATTGAAGCAGTGTGTGATCAATTTTTCATTATAATTGGTGTCAGTATGTACGTGAAAATGGTTTTATGACGTCATAATCTTTTTGTTTGCTTGATTTATTGATGCAATACAGACAATGGTATTCACGTATTACACTCATCTAGTCTTGATACTGAGTACTTCGTAATTAAGTATTAAGTAATTAACAATCGCAGAATTACCATCTAGCTGAAGTGTGGTATTAAGACAATAATGTATGGTTTCCACTATGATTATATTAAAAAGAAGTTTAACGACAAAGCAAGATTACTTTTCACTGACACAGACAGTCTAACATATGAAATCGAAACCGACGATGTATGTAGAGACTTTTAGAATGATAAAGACAAATTTAATAATAGCGATTATCCAGAAAACTCTCCATATTTTGATAAAACAAATAAGAAAAATTCAAAGGCGAGGCTTCTAGTGTACTAATAATTGAATTCGTCGGTCTGAGATAAAAAATGTATTCTCGAACAGATGATAGTGAAAAAGTGGGTAGAACAGCCAAAGGAATAAAAAAAAATCGTCATAAAGAAAGACATGAAACATAAAAACTACAAAAACGTATTATTAAATGACAAATAAATGCATCATAAAATGAAAACTATCAGAAGCTACAGTCATCAACTCGAAGCTATGAACTAAAAGAAGTGTCCCTCAGCTGCTTTGATGATAAGCGATACATTCATGAAGACGTTATAACAACATCATAAAATACGAAAGAAAAACATCACTGACATACTTTACTAACAAACTTTACTGGTAATCTTTCTTTAAAAATCAGCTTTTAATGTATACTCGTAGAGATCACATGATCTCACGAGACTTTCACACGACCTAAGAACAACAGCAATCTGATGACTCATTTCCTCGGGAAAGCCCCTTTGGTATTACAATATTGACTTCCCTGTTTTCTGAGAATGTCACGCAATGGAAAAATTCTGTGAGATCAGATTCCATCAGATGATTTCATGAAATGATTCCATCAAATGATATCATGAAATGGTTCCATCAAATGATTTCATGAAATGATTCCATCAAACTATTTCATCAAATAATTTAATCAAATGATTCCACCATATGGAAAGTAGTATAGAGAGTTGGTGTTTGTAAAAGATCACTATTCAAAGTGATCTGATACTGCCGACTACTATACCACTCACACCTACCATTCCACCAAAACGAGGTACCTATATTTTGTTCCCAGGTCTCCGTTGGATAGCGGTCGGTTCAAAAATATTTACTCGGCCGATATCTAGGAGGCCACGATGACGTGGCAGCTGTGTAATTTGTAAATAGTCAAAATATCAGGAACAGAGCGATTTCGTTCCAAGTGCTTACCGTTTAAGTAGGACAGCCGTTAATATGAAAGGTTGACGTGCTTAACAGCGCTGATGGGCAGGGGTAATTTTCACAGATTAAAGAGAGAGCGGATTTGCAAGGTAAGTATAATAATATTTACGCTTGAACATAAAAAAAATCTCTCAACTCAGGGATGATATCTGGCAATCGTCTTTTTGCTAGCGTTCTTTTGCGCTTTTTCGCGTCATGTTTTGTCCTTTTGTTCTTTTTGTTGTAGGTGTCAACCCCAACAGTTTCTAAGAGACGCTCTGCCACCTCGTGAATATTCACATCGTCTGGGCAGCTGCCGTGCAATTAATAAATTCTGATTTACAATGTCAGATCGCGAAAGGTTAGTGAATAAGTCATTTGTTTTCACAAAAAGTGTCGTTTTTGTGTGTGAGGTCCTTAACGTTTTTTATTCAAAATTCCGTTATTGGCTTCTAGTCAGACGTTTTCGGCCTGTTTTGTTGATGACGTCGACATTACCGCTACTCAATTATCGTGTTGATTATACCTAAAAAGCATTAGACAAAAGCCCAGCGCGCAAGTGAACAATAAAATCAATCGGTAACCAATCAATTTAATGAGCGAGTAATCGTACCTACCGATTAATAAATTCGGGAAGTTTCGCTCGCATCACTGATCTTTCGACCGATCTCCATTCTCGCCCGACGATGCTTCTTAGCATTCGCGCGACTAATTTTTTAAAAATTTCAAATCGGATTTCTGTTCCTTTCCGATCGAGGTAGACCTTCTCGAGCTCAGAATAAAGAGGAACAATACTATGATAGGAAAATAGTGGAAGTCAAATTCTTAAACGCGATAAAATAAGCATTCGAGTCGATGACACTTAGAATCACCGAAGCGAATTAACTTATGGCTGTGAAAACGGAGGTTTTAGAAAGGTCATAGTTAAATTATGATTTGCCCGTAACGAATTGTCTAAGAAAATATTTGTATTAAAACGTACAACTTTCAGAATTTTCAACATAACGCTACGCAATTTTCTTTTCCTTGTGAAGTCAAGTAAACAACAAATCTAAGGATGGTGAATCCTTCTGCGTTGATTTTGCCGGTACGCAGAAGATCGAATTTCGTAGGTTTTTCGCTACAACAGCATATCAACAACTGTATTGAATAAAGCTTTTGTATCGAATTATTTGTTACCATTTAACAGGAGGGCTCAAGCTCTCTGTGAGAGGATAATATCATAGAGCTTTGTAGAAAGACACCGAACACGTTATCGCAGTGGAATGTGCTGGACATAAAATTAATTACCTTAGAGCAACCATGGAATGTGAAAATGTGCCATGCGTCGGCAAGCTTATTTGCACGTATCTTAACCTGGTACTCTGGAAATGTGGAAACTTTTAAATTTGGTAATATTAAAACGAGGCATTAGCTTACTCGCATTTGTCTTAACTTGGTGATCTAAAAATTAGGAAATCTGGAAATATGCAAATTAGTTTTAAGCTCACATTTATGTTAACTTGGTACTCTGGAAATGTGGAAATCTGGGAATATGCAAATGAATATTTGCTTACTCACATTTATGTTAACTTGGTACTCTGGAAATATGAAAATCTGGAAATCTGGAAACGTGTAAATGAGTCTTTGGCTTACTCCCATGTATCTTAACTTGGCGTTCTGGAAATAAGGAAATGGCAAAATTAAAAGAAGCATAGCTTAATCATCATTGAAGCCTAGAGGATAAGAGAACCCTGAGGTTTTGTAGCTAGCCCCTTTCATTTCTTATTATATTGCTATGATGATTATTATTGTTACATGATGATTTGCCTCCACTTGATTATTGGTTGAATGTAAATTGTTCATTATATTCAGTCCTGAATCACCTATGTACCAATATGGATGCAAATCGCTTGTAAAACTGAAGACCGTGTGGCTTGAACAAGCTTAATTACCTGCCAAAACTATGGAGAATATACACATTGGCTAAATAACTAAAAGAAAAAAAAGAATCGGTTGAAAACGTTTTGAGGAATATATAAGTAATTGGGAGGCTAGTTTTTTCTTGGTAGCGTGTGTGTAGGTTGTGGGACCATTGGACCCATGATGTAAAGGGTAAAAGAGTGCCAGTTACTACTGCCTTTGCAGTGGTGGATGAAATGACAAATGCCTCGGAGATTATGGAACCTAGTGGCGAAAATAAAAATGATAATGTACTTAATTTCAGAAAAAAAAAAACATAATAAATGTAATAATCGTAAGAAAGGTCACAAGAGTACAAAAATTATGTGTATCTTCACTTTGATGAGAGTCGCTTGTCAGGAGCTCATTGCTTGGAACTTTCGTATGTACTGTAAGTTGTAAGCTCGCGTAAGCCCTTTCTCTTTTTAGTGTATTTTTAGAACCAAGTTTCTTGTGTGAATGAAACTGAAGGCACATCATACTTGGCACAACTCTCGTCCGATAAATCTGATCATTCTTCCATGTTTTCCACCATTGATGTCAAAATTTCAATTTTCATGAAAACATGGAATCATAAATGTAAATGAGCATAGTCTTAGCTCCACTCCGATTGGTTATTAGCAGTAAAAAGTAACAAATATCCCGCAAAAACAATTTCTATAAATACCTTTATATAAACCTTAAAGTTCATACATTTTAGTTATTCCATATGAACTTTGAAAGTATTGCACTAAATTAGATGATATATCTCTCAGTACACAAGTTCCTTGAGGATAACTCTTGCGTAAACATCACTTTAAGATGGCCGTCATCAGGAGAGTAAACAATAGCAGCAATAATACAAACAAATGTCAAAATATATGATCAGTATTCTTCTGATATCAATGACTCAAAATCTCTTTTTCGCCTCAACGGTTTTCATATCCCTCATTGGTAGCCTCACCATGGACATAACCACTATAGCTTCTCGAACAACAAAATCGAAGCAAAGAAATAATATACAGTCAACTTTTTTCTAAAAAATCGCCTGAACAACGACACTAACACTAGCATAACAATCGTTATTATTCACATCGCTTACGGCCCAGCGAATAATTGCTTATTATAGACCAGGATAGTGAAACGCCTGCTTCGATTTTCGATATGCTATCGTTTCTCTGCATATTTGCAAAATTTGCATTGATTTTAAATGATTCCTTTTATTTCCAGTAGAAACATTTTGTGTATTTACAAGCTTATCTATGGGGTTGGCCTTCGAACTCTCAGAAAGTTGTTCATGGACATCAATTCAAATTGGTCTAATCAACCATCTGATGCAGCCACATTTGACAAGGGAAAAATGAAGCTTTCTAAAGACGAACAAGTCAGCTTCAACAAGGGAAACATCAAAGAATGGGACTTCTCATTGATGACTACTGCGCTGCTCTACTCACAAAGTTGTGTCGTGGAAATTGTCCAAAGACCAGGCCATGAAACTGCCCTAAAAGAGCTAAAGAAATGCCGTAACAAACTGCTTGGACATCCATCTACAGATGCGATGTCAGATGCAGATTTCAGCTACTACTGGCCCTTGCTGTCGAAACACTTTATCACACTCGGAGCAGACCCTAAAGTCATTTCTGAAATGGAATTTAGAAGAGGTAATGAAACAAATTAAATGGCAAATGCTAATGAAACACTTAAGGCGTTAGATCGGGTATTAAACCAGTCGAATTTGATCCTTTATCGTCACTCACAATTTAGTTTTTGGGTTTCTGAGATTTTTGGGACAATAAGGAAAACAGAACCCACAATAATACATATTTCTATGCATTGGCGTAGTTTTCTAGATGAAGAAAAATCAGGAAAGATGTTCGACTGCGGTCGATGATTGCTTGGGAGCAGTGCTCCAAGCTGCGTCCGTTTTGGTGGTTGTGTCAACAGAAAAAAATTTGGCGACAAACAGCCAGTTTGACGACCTATTTTGGCGAAGACGTAGCAAGTTGTAACTTTCTGATAATTAAGTTTTCATGGTCTGAAGTTAAAGTGACATAAACATTATTATAAATTATTACTCAAATGCTGCATCGTTTTTTCTATTCAAAGCATTGGCTTTTACCCCTATGACTGGTTCCTCGGATAATAAACCTTGAGACGTCACGTGAATCTCTAGAAATGAATGACGGTCATACTGATCAATCCAAAGAAGACACGCTGTGTGGTCAGCGATTTAGTGGTCGTGTAATATTGCATAAAATTTTTATTTTTATTCTTCTTCCAACCTCTGTCTTCAGCCACAGACCTTATTGGAGCGGACTATTACATGAACCTTTTCCTCTCCGAACGAGATAGTCACCTTCGTTGTGAACAGAAACTGGACCATATTAGTGAAAAATTAGACGTCGTCATAGCCAATCAGGCACGTTTGAGGAATCAAAAAACCATCATTAGTCAAGGTGACGAGAGTAGTCCTGAGTGGGATGAATGGCTGAGATTTTGTTACGCAGTTGATGATTTTGATTCCCAAAAAAATCAGTACATTCTTGCCATCGATACTGTGCCGAATGCGGAAATAAAGTGCTATTCAAATTTGAGAAGTGTCGCTTGGAAGATGATACTGGATTTTGATGTCATGTCAGAAGAAGAAGGCTTCTATCACGAGTTTACATCTAAAGAAGAGCAAATGAGTAACCTGGTAAGCATGTTTACTCCTGCAGAGTTGAAACAAAGCACCATGCGAAGTTTGGTAGGGCAGATCGATCCAAGAAAAACTCAGTGGTTGTTTGTCAAAGGAAGGGCTGGTGACGATGACGACCGAAAATGTGAAGAATTTTCTAATTGGGAAGCCACAGCAGTGAAAGACATAAACAGTCTACTTCGATGTTGTTCGGATCCAGACACGTTTGACGAGTTAAAGCCAGTCATATGCCTTATCCTCCCCTTCACTCAGAGCAGCCAACCCTTTCTACAAATAACAATGAGTCGTTTGATCGAAAACTTTAACAAGCACAAACTGACGTTCGTGTCTGTTAACAACGAGAGTTTGCATGATCTTTGCGATTATTCCAGTGTTCAAGCCTTCCATTTGTGCCCTAAGATTCTTGATCTTGGGTTAAGAGACATACTCGGAACGTCTACGGATCAGAAGCTGCGTATGCCTACTTCCCATGCTGGAGTTCCAGTACACCTTAGTCGACGACAGTATCTCTACATCAAAGAGTACCTGGAAGTCTTGTACTTAGGGTGTGAAGATCTACCGGAAGATGCTAATAACTCCTCGGAGTCTTGGGAACAACTAGAGAGACATTTGGAAGAGCAAAGAAAATCATTCTTGTCAGGAAATGAAATATCGTTTGCCAGTCTCTATGACAATCACGATGCTAGAAGACAGCTTGAGAGAGACATCCAAGTTCACGTTCAGCGACTCTTGGATCAAGGCCTAGTGCGTCCCATCACCGTGGAAATTCGACACTCGCCAGGCACAGGTGCCACCACTATCGCCCGTCGTGTTCTTTGGGATCTGCATAGTGCATACCCATGCCTGATAACTGATGTTGACTCTCAGCGCTCTTCAGATGAAGACAACGACTTTGCAAGCAAACTAGCAGAACGAATATCCTCGATCGAAGAAATTTGCAATACACCTCCATTGATTCTTATAGATGGAAAGAAATCAGGCTCCATAGAGGGCCTCTCTAACAAGCTTTCACGAATACTTCAAAGTAAAGGAAAAAGAGCCCTCTTATTACGGTGTATTCGAGGGATGAAAGAATCGAAGAAAGCACAGGAGTCATCTCACGTTCATAAAGTGTTTCATGTCAACGTCAAACTGGAGGAGTCCGTCACTGATCTGCATGAATTCAAGTCCAAGTATAAGGAGTACCTAGACTCGGTCGATAAGTCACTGAACGGTGGGCTGATTTTATCCGGCCTTTGTCGTGTTTTCCATTTTCCTCTCCTGGCCATGATGCAGGTATTCCGCCCTAAACTAGAGAAGATCATCGAAGACACCCTCAATGAACTGGGAGGAATTCAGCAAGAGATTGCCGCGGTAGTAGCCTTCTTACAAAAGTATGCTAACCTTCCAACTCCGGCCATTCTCCTACACGAAGCTTTTAAGCAGTTCATTCGCCTAGCAGATGAGAACACTGCCACTTATGATGATATCAAGCAGCTGTTTTCAGATTATCTCATGAATCTAATGATACCCACGAAACCAACACCATCTGGAAAGGAAAACCCACCCGAAAGCTATACATTCCAGCATCCGTTAGTCGCAGACCTAATCCTTAAGAGAGTGTATCAAGAGCAGAAACGCGACCTTTTTCAGATTGTCGAACGATTTCTTCAATTTCCCATATATCAGCAAGAAATTCTTCTACCCCTTTTAAATGAACTTTTTATCTACAACAAGATCAGGCAAGGTCAAACGGAGAAGCTCAAGTTCTCTCTTCTATTCGAAGAATTGAAGAGTACAGATTCAGATCGAGCAGCAGACATCTTTTGTAAAGCTGCTGAGAAGATCAATCAGCCAGTAATGTATGCGAATGCAGCACGATTTTGTGCAAGAAAGGATCCCCCATCATTCCCAAAAGCGAAAGAACTAATTCAACGTGCTTTGAAGGTCCATGATTGTGCAGCATCTAAAGCTGGATACAAAAACTTGTGCCATACTAAAGGTGTCGTTCTCTATTTTGAACTCAAGCACAAGATCAATTCCGGCGAGGTCCATAATCTTGAAGAATTGGAAGAAATGGCCAGCAAAGTTCTTGAAGCACATCGTGAAGCGCGCAATTTTCCTCCAACTTACCCACACCCTCTTATTGGCGAAGTTGAGGTGTGGCTTGAGTGCATCACATGGATCATGAGGAACATGTGCGAGAATGACACTCAAGAGACCTTGCATTTTGTGACAACTTTGTCTCCTCCATTTTTTCGGACATGTTTAAGTGACTCTTTCCATCTTCTAGACGTTGTTGATGGTATTGTCCAAAGCGTGTCCCAACTTGCTGATCCTGAGGAAACCAAAAGGTTGTCTAACAATTTGAGGCTATCCCTTATGAAAACGTTTCGCTCAAGGTCTCATCTTCCTGGTAGACCGAAAGCCGACGAAGATATCGTTCAAGCTTGTAAAGCAATTTGCACCACGAAGAATTTCCGAGAGTCGTCAAAGTTGGAACTAAAACGACTTCAGGCCCACTTCCTTTTGACACACACCGAGGCAGTCGACAATTTCAAACAAGAAAATATTGAATACCTGCTGAAACTCCTTGAAGAACTCGTTCTCAAAGAAAACGAGTACAGCCTGGCTCATCATTTGATAAAAGTATGTATGTTAGTGACAGGAGCAAGATGTTACACTCTCCAGCATGGTCTCAGTGTCTGTGACAAGTGGTTGTCGGTGGCGAGCCATGACTGCCTCCCATCCTTTTACCAGATGGTTATCTGTTTCCTACAAATTTTGGATGGAAACACTCTGGATTTTATGCCGAAGTATATCCAAGCCTTGCAAAAGTGCCGAGAGAAATCTCAGAACCATCTGAAGAAATTTTATGCTACATTATATGTGGGCAAGGAGGGAAATGGTATGTCTCGCTTCATCAGCCGCAATGCATTGCTTCGTGGAGAGACGAACTACTCTCCCGACAATTTTCAAAAAGTTTCTAAATTTTGGCAGGTGGAGAGTAGAACGAAACTGAAAGAGTGTAAAGGAAGAATCAGAGAGAAGGAATCAAGTCGTGGAAAGTCGCATTTTTGCATCGAGCTAGTGCAAGGTAATCTTGAACTCTATGTTGGCAAGAACGCTGACATCGGCAAAGTGCAGATGGATTTTACACCAGGAGCTTTGGTCTATTTTGTTGTCAGTTTTAATCTTCAGGGTCCTGTTGCCAATGGCATAACATTTTCGCCACAGGATTCACTAAACGAGTATTGAGAAAGACTGTTTGGCACTTCAACAGTGTCTCGTTCAAACGACCATTGGGAACATTTAATGAAAATTTTACAGTCGGATTCTATTAAAGACTTCGGTTGCTCGCTCTGTATGAGGCAGAACAATGACATACAATGACATTTTCAATCACTTTTCAATAGAAAACAAGCTGTAAATTTTTTATGAACCCTTTTCATTGTTACGCATATCTTAGATACTGTCTTCATCAATCTAATTTCGTTACAAATCGTGTCGTTGATCGACTTGTGATCTGTTTTCGTTGTGCGAAAATAAGGTTAGGCAAAATCTATATACGTCTAAACAAACCGCCATGTGGTTCTCAAATTCTCTTTCCGGCTATGAAGCCTTTAGATGAGCTTTTTTATATGTCCTATTTGAGAGTCGTAGAATAATAGTCCTTAAAATTTAAATCGCGGTAACGTTAGAATGATCTAAGAGTTCGTTAAGGTTGATTCCTGGGCTGCCTTTGATAGCCTGAGGAGGTGCCATTGAAAAGGTTTGGCCTCGAATTTTGGAAAGATATCTTAAAACTGTTTATTGTTAGGTCAAATGATAAGTCAAAAGAAATCTATGGGCACCAAAACGGTTAACAAAAGATTTACATATTCATCTATGTGGTTATTTTGGGAACTACGTAGTTTATATGGTTATTCAGACATTTGTATGTCATAACCCGGTAATGTATAAGTTTGATGATCAAAAAAGAAACGAAGAATCAAGCCAATAATAAGGCAAACACTACAAGATATTTTGTAGATCACAATTATTTATGAAATAAATTTCGAGCTAAATAATTTTTGAAATTGTGCTTCCAAAGCCAAAATATTTGTCACAATAAAATTAACTTTTTTTCAAGTGACCATTACTTAGTCTCATACACGATCGCTTCTTTAGCTACTGAAAAACTTAATTCGAAGGAGAAATATTTTAATGAAAAGAACAAAGTTGCCCGTTATCTCGAACAGAAGATGGACGTTCAAGGGCCCACAATAAAAAAAATCCTACTGACATATATGTCATTACCTCGCGAAACCAAAACCAAAAACGCGAAATTACTTTCCAGCTGCATCCGGAACGTCCAGAACCAGTGGAACCGAATCCACTGGAAGCAAAACGCTGTAAATTCGCTCCGGACACCCCGACCACCCCGATGTTCTACTCGTATCATGGGCGATGATGTTAGTTTACGTTCGTGTTCCTCATTCCAGGGCCGTATAATGGAATGGAATTTTAAAAAAGCCGCAAATTCCAGCATAGCGGTTTGCTAAGAACCTCCGGATGAAGCGTTCCTCGGATATCGCAGTACCCAAACCGTTAGAACTTTCAAATTATGGTTCAATTAATAACACTCAGGGTAAAGGCTGCTAATTGCTCCTCAGACATTATCATACCTTTGGACGATAAATGTCACCACAATTAAAGCTAGACATCAAGGGCAATTAAAACATAAATCTCCCCTAAGGTAATCTTCTTAAACCCTAAAACGACCTCTCTAACAGTGTTAAGGTCTTTTCGGTTTCTATTTTTTTCTATTAATTTTCTTTGACAAAAACGGGTTTCGAAGGTTCCGGATGTTCTGCTGTCTGCTGATCCACAGTCCAGTCACACTCTTATGTCGCTAGGTGTCACGGAATTTGTAAAACTTCATGGAATTAAAGGGTGTGTCCAAATGGCCATTTTGGATCGGAGAAAAACTTCGAGCTAATATGATGTTACTCAGATCCGTTTGGCACACGCACAAAGATAACGGTAATAAAGATTCTTGGCGCAGTCCACCAGATAGTATTTTATTTTGACAATTTTATTCTCAAGAAATGAAAAAAAAAAAAAAAAAAAAAATGAAGGTTGAGATTCAATACCTTCTCATTCAGTTAAATTTTGGCGGACCGTCGCGGACTGCACCGTAAATTCTCCTCATCGTATGTAGTTTTGGTTAGCCAAGTTTCAGATCAAAAGAATAAATCTTGCTGTTGCTGTGGAATGACACGATGTAGCTGTTCTAATTAATTGGCGAAAAGCGGCAATATCTTTGGCTGAATTCGTCAGAGAACCCATGTCTATTTTCCTTCCTTCATAGATTTGTTTAGATCTGTTATGTAAACCTGGAAGAAATCATTCATTGCTTTGATGTAATCTTTTCACCAATGCATGCGAATCTGAGACGTCATAACTTTGTCGGTATCGTTGTACCGGCACTAGGGGCAACGAACCCCAAAGCTTTCAGGAAACGAGAGCCCGCACGTACGTCAGTGGTTTCACCCACAAACAACAAAATGGCTACCAACCCGTGCTGCACTTGTAAGATTGGACCTTCTATCTTGAATGCCGATCTTTCGTGCTTAGCAGATGAATGTAATAGGCTGTTAGAATGCGGTGCAGACTACCTACACCTGGACGTCATGGATGGGTATGTGTACCCAATATAGCTGGCATTAATGACGACTATATGATGTCAGTGGAAAGAATCCTGTAGTTAGTGATTATGATCACGTTGATCAAGGCGAACTGTAATATTTCTGATGAGATGATCTAATCGCGGATTTATTTACAAGATAAGTTAATCTGGATATGCTACCATCATTTGGTGGCTGTCATGGGGCAAAGGGCCCGGGAGTATGTTTTGCGTTCGGTATACGCATGGTTCTAAGAGAGGTCTTCCAATACTGGTAATTTACGGGGGTAGGCTCGATTCGAGAAACACTTTGAAATTTTTAGGAAGCCCGCAGGTTTTTTCAATTTTAAGGGGTTATTTTCTCACAAGTTTCAGTTTAAATCAAAGTGTTAATCAGTATGGCTAAAACTTGTAATTTATTCATGTAAACCAGTACAGCATTCTGTGGTGTTCTTGTTCTCAAAAAAGTTCTTATTACTTTTTGGCTGTTAGCCATTTTGTACCCAATTTAACTTTTGGTGCTCCATTGGTGAAATGCTTGCGAAAGAAAGTTCCAAATGCCTTTTTTGGTAAGTAAAAAAACTTTCCAATACCATGACATTTTATTATTTAGAAAAAAAAATTTGAATGAATTAGTAACATTTCTTCAGAACTGCATGTTATGCCCTGGTATATAGCAAAAGGATAAACCTTAACCCAATAACCAACTTAATCAAAGCTATAACAAAATTATTGAAGGTGATTGGTTATCACCAGGCCAAATTGAGCACTAATAGGACAGTTTACCCATCATGCTTGTAATTGAACAGTGTACTAGGACAGTTAACAGGACAGTTAACACATCATGCCTGTGTAAGTAGACAGAATGCATCATGTGTGGCGCTGTTGTCTCACATTTTGCCAAGTTAACTGCTTTTTTTATTAAAACATATAATGGATGTCTAGTTTCTTTCTCAAATTTTGTCATAGTGTTGATTAGTTGGTAACAGGACTTTGTGTCATCCAACTTTGTCTGTAATCATATGGTGATTAGCAAATCAGACTGCCACTTTGCAGTCGTCTAATTTTGTTAATCACTAGAGTGATTACAGACTGGATTGGACTCCACTTCTGGTCTCCTTTTTTATTTGTGTCCTCATAGCCACCACATGGTTCTTCCCCCTCTATTTACAGCTGTTCTATGGGACAAAATAGACACATAAAACAGAGTGATAATTTTGTGATTACAATATAACTACTTATGAACAGTTTTGATCTTGCAAGTTACCGACAGAGGTGGTCTTTCAACAGTAACTGTAACATTGTATATGATTTGTATGATCAAGTTTTTTTTCATTTCAAATTGCTCTATTTAAATTTGAATGTTGTAAAAAAAGTATTTTTTTACAAACAATGTTTATTCTTGATTATGTCAGATATGCATATGATGGTTGCCAATCCAGAGAAGGTAATGTACTATCTGAGAACTTTTTAGGGAATTGTTGTGTCAAAGTACATTTTAAAATCTTTAATTTATTTAATTTAAAATTGTTTGGTAGATTAAAATAAAAGAAGTTGCAAGAAATTTTTTCTACCATTTAAGACCTTACTATTCTGTGTTTAGTGGGTAGATGACATGGCAGATGCTGGTGCCGATCAATACACTTTTCATTTGGAAGCAACAGGTACAAAAATGAAGATAAATCATTTATGCTTTTTTGTGATAAAATCAAGTAATTAAACAGTTATTGACTAGAATCATAAATTGAAAAAAGAGTCCAATAGGTAACCAATTATAAATCCATATTGATAAATGAATCTTGATTGAGGTGAAGCTAAGTATTGAGTTCATCATTGTTTATTGCTTGTGTTGTCAGAAAAACCAGTTGACTTGATAAATCAAATAAAGAAGGCTGGAATGAAGGTAATAATATTCAACTTTTTGGAAATCATACCATGTACAAACCAGTTTGCATTGTTTATCAATATTAATTAAGTTAATATTTAAGCATCAGTAATATTTTATTTTAATAATTTTCAGATTATTTGTTACCCCAATTTCTTATTCTTGTGGAGACTTACACAGGAGCTTTCCCATGGACAAAAAAGCATATAGTCCAGATGATCATACAAACTGCTTTATTTTGAGTCAGCATAATGCAAGGGAAGGCATTAATTTTGTTTGGTATTCAATTACCAAGTTTGAAAGAATTGCTTCAAGCTGCTTGAGGTTTCTAGCTCTCTCCTAAGTTTTTTGGGAAAGTTGGTGGAAAACTGACCGAAACTCCGACTCATGATGATTCTTTTGAGGATCATTGTTTTTAAAATCAGTAACCATATATTAAGTACAAGGTACTCTCACTCTTGCACTTTGAATTAAGTTTCTCTTACACCTACCATTAGGGTCTTTTTTAATGGTAAGTAGTGCTTTGTCTAATGGAACCAAAGTAAGCTATATAATGTTGTAAATATGTGACTGCTGAACATTTTCTGTGTTTTTTTGTTTTGTTTTTTTTGTAAAGGTTGGTATTGGAATCAAGCCTAACACACCAGTTGAAGCTGTCTTGCCATTTGTGGAGCTGGTGGATATGGTTCTTGTGATGACAGTGGAGCCTGGATTTGGTGGACAAAAGTTCATGGCAGACATGATGCCAAAGGTAAATTAAGATTGAAATGCATTTTATTATTTAATTTCATGCAGGAAATGATTTATGTTATGGTGTACTTTTAATCCTTTAACTCTTAGAAGTGATTAACATGAAACTTCTTCCTACAATATCCAAACATTATTCAGCAAACAGGTAATGAGAATATTCCAACTTATCAGGTAGAAGTTGTTATCTTGATCTAGCACCAACTTTAACACTGAAGGGTCAAAGAATGTAGGCCTATAGAAGAAACTAGGAAATGTGTGGATCACTGATGGGAATGAGTTTGTGACCTCTCAGACTAATACAGAAAATGTGGAAAACTTTTGTGTACTCCCTCAAGGCTTTTTTTTCTAGCTTAAAAACGTATGAATTTTAATGAAAATGAAAATCTTGAGGGTAACATGGTCAGAAATGTGGTCAGGAAGAATTGGTATGCATTGAAATTGGTTTGTTCCAATGAAAAATCATGTCATTAAGTTTTAAAAAACTAAATGTTAAATTTGTACCTTATTAGTTCTTGTCGTCTATAGCCAACACACCAGCAATAAATTGAAGAGGAGTTAAATTTCCTGATGATTTGACCAAACTCTTCTATTTACATGTCATAAGAAAATGGTGTAAGAACCTACTTGCAATTACATTTCAACTCGACCTCACACCTTTTTTAAAAGTTAAACTTATGTGGATAACTGCCTGGACTGGGGCTAGCAGGGGATTGGTTTTTACATCCTGCTCTTTTTTAAGAATTATTTCTAAGGGACTACAAAAGTGCTACTGAAAAGTTACTCAGGTTGTTAGTTGTCAATTAAATTTTTTTTGGCAGGTCAAACACTTAAGAACCAATTACAGGGTTTTGGACATTGAAGTTGATGGAGGATTAGGAATTCCTACAATTGAAGCTGCAGCTCAGGTAGCTAATGATACTGTAACAGCTTTAATGTTCATACAATGCAATTACTGATGACCCCAAAAGTTAACTTACTGCCAAGTGAGATGAGGAAATGGTTTATACAATGTACAGTGAAAAAAGCCCTAATTCAGGGCTCCAAGCTCAACCATTGTCAAAGTCAATGTTATTTTAATGAGTAATGATGACCCAAAATCTTGTTGTGCAAATGTCTATCTCAACTTCACCTTCTACCACAATATTTTTTTACAGATGAAAACATTATCAATAGCTTGCAACATGGCTGTTGAACACAGGTAGCCAATTTGGGGTCTTAAGCTGATTAAGAAGTTGCTAAAGTTGTCTTTTATAAAGCCAAGATGACTATTGGTTACGGCTTTGAGCTCTGGCATTTTACCTTGAGTTTAAAAAGGTAAACATAAGAATTTATTGTGTTTCTTAGGCTGGGGCAAACATGATTGTATCTGGTAGTGCCATCATTAAAAGTGATAAACCAAAGGAAGTGATTGATGCCCTGAGAGCAACCACTGAAAAATGGATCAAGATTAACAGTGAAGCAAGTCAATGAATGATTCAGTTTATCAGCAACATTTATAGGGAATTTTTTAGCATTGGATTTTGTTAATGATGACCAATGGTCATGTATTTAATTGGAACATTTTGTAATGATTTTATTAAGCTGCAAAAGTATTTCATACAAAAATAGTTAGATTGCCAAGCATTATTGTAACAATTTTTCATATCCATGTTAGGACATTTTTTGTTTTTCATTTGCATGTAGCTGTGTAGGGGTACATACACTTATCCTTTATTCACCAACATGCTCCAAAATTGCACTCCAATGTCTAGTGTCACATATTTGTCTGTTTTAGACAATCCACCCATTTCACTCAATACAAAAGTTTTAAAATGGAGAACTTAAGGTTGAATTTAAAATTGGAAGCCTTCTTTATAAAAAAAAATATTTGACAATTCTCAAACTGACGATTAAAGGAGGGCATGAAAAGGGCTTATTTATAATATGTGACTTCAGCTAGACTGCTTAATTCCTATGAAGTGTCCCTTCTATTCCTTTTTCAAACCATGGGAGAAGTAAATATTGAATCAAAATAAACATATGATCTTTTTTCTCCACACTCAATTAATTTATTGCACACTGGAGAAAACTCAGACCAAAATTTGCACACGTACATTTATTTAATCATTATCACCCGTGTCAGCAATTTTCACAATTATGTTCTCTTACAAATAGTGCAAAAAACATCAATGGGAATCTAGAACACAACAATACTAATTAAAACGCTACAATACATAGACGAAGAAAGTTCAGTTGTCTGACTTGTTCACCACTTGTTGTAAAACCTCAGTTTAGTAATGGATCAAACTCTGTCTCCTTTATAAATTTAAGTGTAAAGACAAACAAATGCACAGATACAACTGTTTACAGTCATCTCCATTTGTTCAGCATATCTGAGATATTTTAATGAAGACATTTAAATACAGGTACCCATTTATAAATTAAGTACATGTTTGACAAAGCTGTTTGAGAAGATGAAAACTACCTAACTACTTTGAACTATTGTTATAAATTATGAGACGCATCTTTTAAAAATATTATTTCCTTTTGACTGAAGGCCACAGATTTATGGTTTAGGCAGAGACTACTACTTAGTTAATACTTGAGTCTAAAACCCTAAACTACTGCAGAACTACTTGTTCTAGCAGTAGGTAAACAAAGAAAAAGCATTTGCAAGACTTGATTACCATGTACTTTGATACCATAGGAAATAAGGTGGATGGAAAGCAAGAGCTTTTAACTACAGTTATCCCAGAATTTCTTTTCAACAGACTGTTCTGTCTCTAATTCATTCTCCCACTTGATGTTTTATTTTAAAATTTTTCCCCTCTAATGTACTACAGTTCTCTTTCAGTGCTCTGGTATTATGAGTGTTATCAATGACATTTCCACATTGGTTAATTCCTCAGTCATCATCTTCCTTCTTCTCATCACGCAGCATGTACCTGTAATTACATCATAGAAGTAAATTTTATTAATGCATGTAAAAGATTATCAGTTGGGTAAAATATGGGGAAGTAAACTTGGGTCAAACTCTTTACTATTAATAATTCTTACACAAATAATGTGCCTGATATATATTTTAGATAAATCTATCTTTAGAAATGTTATAAAAGTGTAATATTTGTACCATTTATAACCAATGCTATTTTTGCAATAAAGATGTAATTTTGTTTATCAAAACAACCTTCCACTTTTGGATCTAAAAGGGAAATTTTCTAGAAAGTCATAGGAAATCTATCTTTTGAAACTTCTAGAAGTGAAAAGATGGAAAGTTCTCCCTTTTGGTCCCCTTTTCACCCTGACATCAGTATGTATATTCTCCATTCTGTTCTCCATACATTTCCTAATGTGCTGACAAGGAGAATTTGTTTAACAATCAAGAGCTTCTTTAGTTGGTGATCATTTCCTTGATTCTTGTAACTTTAATGTGTGATTCCTGGGAGACATTGCAAGGGGAATTAGATGTGACCACTTTGGGGGTCAACAATTAAGAACCTTTCTAAATAACAATCTTAAAATTAATAACATTATAAGTACATCCCTCGCATTCACATTAATCTTAAATACAAAATACTTACCATTCAGTGACAGGCTGAGACAAATCCAGTTTACCAAGGTCAAGCAGAACCTGAAGGACAATAAAAATAGTAAGTGTCACTACCCTTGTTACAATGTAAAACCAATGTGCCCTTGTTTAAAAGCTGCTCCACAAAAGAGTGCAAACTCCTCCCACTCAGGTTATTTTGTCGCATCCCCTCCCCCACCTATCTTGATATTCCACTAAAACCTACAGTTACCTTTCTCTTTAAAAGCTTTTCCTTCCACTGTCCCCCATCCCCACCCCCCAAGTAGTTCTAATGTATCACCATGGGGTTGGTACACATATTAATATTTACTGGAGCCAGTTGACTTTAAAAAGCTGAAGGATTGACTATATAATTGTATATATTATTGCTCTTATCTCTGATTATGTTAAAAAACATTTTTCATATTGGAAACCTTCCATCTCAACTTTGTTAAGTGAGCCAAAAAAAATAACTTCATACCTGGCCCATAGAAGTTTTACTCTTTGAGAAGAAAGACACATCATTCTTGACAGTAATGTCCAAAGTGTGTTCCTTCACTTTATCCTCAGGGACACTCCATTCAAACCTAAAAAAAAATGTTTTCCACAGGATGATACAAAATCTTTCTCAGAGTAGGACACAAACATTATTCTAAGTAGAAAATCAGTTGCACTGTGAGATTAAAGAGTAAAAAAAGCAAAAAGGATATTAAGAAAGTTAGAATTACGTTTCTTCAAAGTCTGGCTCGAGGGTGTTTTTCTTGACATCAGTTCGTCTGCGGCCACTTCGAGACTTGTCAGGAAGCAGGTAAGCACGGACATATGGGTCAGAAAGACCATCTGAGTCACAAGCCAGCAATTTCCTTTAAGTGAGTAACAGAAAAAAATAATTAGTAACATGTAACAAAGTACCCAAATGTGTACAAAGAAGACTGAAGAAGTCCTTTCATTACTTTTGCTCTTTGTTTATTTATGAAATTTACACCTTTCACACCCATACATCAGTATCCATATTCTCAATACTTCTCTCCATATTTCCTTAAAGGAACTGATAAGGAGAATTTGTAAATTAAACATTAAAGCTTCATATGTTAAAGATCATTTCCTTTATTCTCATGATCTTAATGAATGATTCAGCAGTATTACTGAAAGGAGAAATTATATGCTGAACATGCTCTTGGGTTTAAACAATTAAGAGGAATGAATTTGGACTGACCTTGCTTGGTGAACAATGACCTCAAACTTGCTTCCTTGTTTGTTATAGCGTGTGGTGAGGCGAATGTCACCAGACACTGTCCTGTTTCAAGAATAACATCAATTACCCATGAATTAATTTGCTTAATATTTGGATCAAACCAGAGACACTGACAGATGATCAAAATAAAATCGGCGTAACAGTTGAAGCACAACGTTATCCAAGGTTGCCTTCCACACGCTCTTATTAAATGGCCAAAAAAGAAACAATTCTGAGCATATGGAAAGTTGCATACACTGCATGTTGCAGCTTGTCAGACCTTTATCATGACACAACAGGTTACTCTCCAACATTTTGTCAGGTTTTGCAAACCCACAAGAGAAAACTTACCTACCTTCCCCCCTCCCCCCTTAAAAGTTTCTTGCCCTAAAACAAAGTTCCCAGTGGTCCAGCAGGGTTCAACCTGTAGCTCTTGATCCACTGGACACCACAGTAATCATTAGACTTCCATATCTCTTACAGGTATGCTTTATTGCTGACAAACATCAGGTGCCTTGTATTTAACAACCCTTTAACTTCTAATAACTACCCACTGGTTTGTTCATTAGTTTTGACAGTAACCATTGCTAGGTATTACAACAGAAAGCTCTCTCTCACTGACAATGTCATCCCTAAGGGTTAGTGTTAGTGATATTGTTTACAGACGTCAAACATTAATCAACTGTTCACTTTACACCAGCTCACCTTTGAACTTTGGGGACAGGCTTCCTTCGTCTAACAGTGCTTTCCTCGCTAGGAGCCAAACAAAAGCAGAAAAAAATGCAGCGTTTTAGGCGACTGTTACCTGATGCGAGGCTGCAAGGATTGCGGCATGCAGAAACAGTAAGGAGTTAAAGGAAAGATTAGTGAAAGCTGCCAGCAATGTGAAGAAAATTACTCTTGTTAGTAACCAGAATTTGCTTTAAATTTTATCACCTCTCAAGATTTACTTTATTTAACTTACATTGTAAATTTTAACTCTAAATCTGTTACTGATTACCAACACCAATTGCATGATTAACTCCTGTATGGTTTAAATTTTAATGTTAATGTTAATTTTTTAATTTTATACTAAAATTTTTATTTACTCCATAAATATCACTGATGCTCAGAAAATGATATTTAACATTCAAAGACCATCAGTATCAAAAAGTGATGTTGTTTAAAGTGTGCAATTAATTGTTTTTAATTTAAAAGATATTTGTATATTATTTGAGGTTACTTTAAATTTAATTATGGGTTATTACTTATCTTTTTGACAATTTATATCATGTTTTATATCAAAAATTATGTGAGAGATGAAGCTGAGTGTAATGAAGAGGGAAATCTGCAATAATTTAGTTAATTAGAAATCAATGTACATTTCGTAATGCCCTGTTTGTAAGTTTATCTGTTAATTAATCATTAGGAGTCAAATGATTTTTAAAATGACTCTTCATTAATGATTCTTAGAAATAATTAAATTATGGTTCTTTGATTTATTGATGGATTGAACTTTAAATAAATTAACAAATGGTTGACTGAAACTGCAGTTATCATTTTAGTACACAATAAACCTTCAACTGTCCTTTAAATTAACACAAATTTTTTTTTTTTGATCTTACAAAAGGATCAGAGAGACATATTTCAAAAAGATAAAGAGACTATCAACAGATTATTGATTGCTCATAGTTTGTTGTCCACAGCAAGAGAGAGAGGTAAATGCATGTACATGAAAGATATTCATAACAAGCACTGACTAGTAGCAGACACAGTGTAGTCTTGTGAATTGGAAGGTACAGGTCCATAAAGCATGGACTTACCTTTGCTTGCTTGCACCACCTGACAGTTCATCAGCAGCAATCACATCTGGTTGGTCAGTGTCGTCTTCTTCGTCTGATGTGTCATCATCTCTTGTAAACAATGCCTAGTATATAAAGCATATAAGGGGCTTGCATTTCCTCAGACTAAAGCATCATGTAAGTAACTACTTTCACAGAAACTGAAATCTTGACAAAGCACCAAATTTGGCAATGATGGGTGAAAAGATATACTGATGATCATCTCTCTGGGACCACAGTTTGAATATGTTTACCTTCAGTGTAAACCTGCAAGTCAAAGTACTGTTGTGGCCTGAATCCTTCAAGGGGAAAGGTTGTTCAAATGTCATGTTCTCATTCTTCAGAAGCTGAGCCAAGGGGAACTCCAGTTTGCCAATGCTTTTCTCCTTGCTGCTGTCAAAAATCTGTTAAAGAAAAGAAAACCATTGAAGATGTGTAATAAGTAAAACAAACCGTAAAATTTTACATGTACATAGATCAGAAACTGGAAAATTCCTATCTACTTACGAGATGTTCATCCAGCATTGGAGAACAGAAAATTATCTGGCTATTATACCACATTTGGTGACTAAAATTCAATGAGCTGAGCTGTTTTTCAATCAGATAGTGAGAAAACTCACCTATTACATGTATTTTACAACATTTTTTGACTTGCTAAAAAAATAGTCTCCTTACAAGAGCCATGATCAATGAATGAATCTGTACCTCAATATCCAATTCCTGATAGTTAGGATCATGGATCATGAAGCGGAATGGTTCTTCCCACACTGGACTGATGGAGTCTTGAATGGTCTGCATTGTACAAGGTGGAAAAAAATTATTACTAACAATTTATTTCATTAGTGAAAACAAAATCATTGATTAAATAAATACCCATATAGTCATAATATTTAATAGGTATAAGATGTTGTAGCTTGATCAAAAGCTTATTTAAATAATATACAGACTTTAAGGTTACCTTGCTCTGGAAAGTGACATTTCCAACAGTAAGTTTGCAGAATGCACTTGTGGTACCACGGGCAGCATTTGTCACCTACAGAAAAGTTGAAATTAACTTTAAAATTTCACAACAGTGACCTTTCACACTTCCTGTGGTCTTATTCTGAGAAGCAGAGATTTTGCACTTCCTTTTTGTCAAATAAAGGAGTGCTCACATTGCACACTTACCGGAAGATTCTTGGCTGAGTCCAGTTTAACAAAAAGAGCTGCTGTTGCTAACATCTCCTCACCAATAACAGCTTGGTCAGGCTGTATATGAAAAACAAAACTAATAAACAAGCAAATAATACACAGTCAAGATCCTTGGCTCTTGGCCTGCCTAAACGAATGGTTGTTCCTGCACATATATGCACAGGACATAGGTGCAGTTCTTGCTAAACTGGTCCTGTCTTTTGAGCATGGCCAGTCACTAAAAAAAATAAGTTCTCCCACTGATTACTGTACTTCCAAAGTGTGACCAAGTTGTCAAACATGCAAGATATTACTGAGAGAGAATGGTGAAAAGTTGTTTCTGGGCCTTGAAAACACACAGAAGGAACCAACTCACACACCCATTCTCAAAAGTACAGGTCCACAAATTCCGCTTTCCTTTTACTATTCTTTGACTGCTGCAGCAATGATTTTGTTTTTCTGTTCAGCTAGTCCTCATAAATATAAAAACACCCTTTAGTTCGTGCAGAACTTACTGGTGAGAGATCATCTGGTTTGGCAGTCAATGTGAACCATGTGCATCTCAAGTTGATCTGGCCACTCTTCACATTCTCAAGTGGAAGCCACTGTATTCAAAAATTATGTAATTACAGGTTAGAATAAATTGAGCAATTGAGTTAACTCCAAGATCTGATTGTCAATTCTCTCCTCTAGCGACTACACACTTCCTTGTAAATTAACTATAAGAATTAGGTGTTCAATCAGGGTAATCAATTATAGTGTCCTCATTATCTGTTCGCTGTATAATGTATGAACACTATAGGGAGAGGTTACATAGTAATCACTTTTGGGAGTTAAAGGGTTAATCTGAGTGTTTAAACCAAAAACCAATAATTCATCACAATGACCAATCAGGACAGGGAGAAATATTAAAATGAACCAATGGCCAATCAGGACAAGGAGAAATATTAAAATCAACCAATGTAAACTCAGTCAAAAGAAAAAAACAGGTAAAGTTACCAATTAAAGTGAAGGAAAGTGTCACTGATCAAATCACTGTAGGTGAAATTTATCTCTGCATGTGTTTGGCTCAGAGGGTAGGACACGTTTTCAAGAACAATCACAGACCATAGGAAGGAAAGTAAACCCAGTACAATCCTGGATTGCTTCAATTTGACGATCAATTTAAAATTGCTCTAGATGCCGTATCAAAATCAAAAAGGTTCCTAACATCAGTTATTGAATATGACACACAACTCTTTAGTTAGTGAAAGATTTGCAACTTACCAAATCAACATTGCCTTGTTGGACAATGGTACCAATATCAGCCTCAACACTAGGGAGATAAAACATCATTTGTCAACATCAAAACAGTCGCATAAAAACTGGAGATATGAGTTGCTTTCTACTAATTCATGTTTGGATGATTACTTACGTTCCAAGAGATTCATCATCAGACGCTTTGTCCTCGTCAAAGACACCAATCTTTATTTTCTGACCATGTGAGTTGTCCACAAAGGCCTTCACATAAACAATCCGAAACAAAACAATCAGAAATTAAATATCCCATGTTTGAAGTCTGAACTAGGAGCCACAAACCCATCAAAATCTTTACCTCAAATACTTCATTCCATATTGGATTCACTGTGCTGTCCTTTGTCTTTGTGCGGAATGTCTTGGCTCCCACTGGCAACAGAAAGAAATATCAGCATAGGTTGAAACTATGAAAGAACTCACAAATTGACCTATGGTACACATGAGATATTCATTGGCATTCTGAAACAATGATCTTATCCCGATGAATTAATCTCTCCATGGGGGCAAGGCAAATGAGAAATCAAACAAATTATTAAATCAATAATTCGTATCAACTGTAAGTTCATGTTTCATTGATTGCTGATTCTATTTAATTCAAAATTAACCATAAAAAAAGTTCACACAGAAATGGAAGTTTTGGAGGAGTTCAGACTTAAAGTATTATCCACCTCCCAATGAAACTGAGGCAGAAAAATTTCAGTGACACAAGTACCAAAAGACTCTTGAATACATATTTACTGCTGATCAGTAAGGGCCTTTCCATGTCTTTGGCTCATACAGTAATCTCCATAGGCTTTGACACATACCTCTGAGAATAACATATGGATCTGAAGAACCCTTAGATATGATACCAATGTCTTTCTTGATCAAGTCTTTACCTTCCAGGACTTCAATGCGAAGAAGACCCTGGGGTGACAAGAAAAAGCAAAATCGATTGTCAGAAACCTTTAAAAAACTTCATTTATGTGTACACTTGGTGTACTGCACTATTGAGTTATTCAAATTTAGATAATTCTATTCCAATTCCTCTAATGGTCCAAAACTGTTACAAGGGAAATTGTTTTCAACATGGCTTGAGGCACAATCAAAGACAATTTGCAGAAAGAAAACTCTAATGATAAGTACAAGTCACTCACATCAGGCATGGGGTATTTCAGTTCATAAGGATCAACATCAGTCAAAGGTACTGTGATCCTGTTTGGAAGAACCACAAATCCTGCCACAACATCATCTATTACCCCACGGATAATGTCGCTGAAAAAATGGAAAAGGAAAGTTAGAGAACCAAACATCACCTCTAATGCAGATTAGTTTTATAGATCATGTCTACTTTACCACAACTAATGATTCATTATATAAGTATATCTACTGTTGCCCATGCAAGTTTTCTAAAAAGTAAATCAAAGTATGCATACCTCAGACCAGGAATATCAAGAATATTTGCCATGTTTGTTAAGTCAAAGTCGATGTCCTGTTAAGAATAAAGCAAAAAAAAAGTTTACAATAAGCTGAATCATACACCCATTTTGATTGGATCTTACTTTCAATCTATTGGAGGACAGAAGTACAGATTACATCACCATGAACAAGACTTTACTTCCTTATAATATAAAACAATTGGATTCTATGTTACAGTCTGTCCAGTCAGTAATAGATCACAGGTAACATCAAAATGTGGTGACACATCAGTGACACACCTGGCAGCAACTTGGGTGCCACTTTTTTTTTTCTTATCACGGTTTGACATCTGTGGTCTATGACTGAACTGTCCTACTGTAAAATGGAATGTATTTGTTAAATATCCAACCTGATTAAGTTTGTAAAAGAGCATTGACAACCTAAAAACAACTTTTCTTGTCAAAAATTGGTATTTCAATTAATTTTTAACTTACAGGTCTGTTAAGAAAGAAGACTGACACCCCACCCACAAGAGGAGCAGCTGGGATGAGAGGGCGCAGAATCACACGCAGACTTCCACGAAGCTGAATGGGATGAAAAGAAACCATAAGAATGCAGCAGGATAATACATGAGAATTTCTAGTTTCAAGCAACTCATGCTGGTAAAATATTCTGTTTGCAGTAAATACAGTATACCTGGAGATCTTCAATGCCAACACTGACACCCTTGACAGATAACTCAAAGTCTGAATCCCCAGCATAACTAAAAGCAATGACAAGAAATAAAACAGAAATTAGAAATTTTATAAAAAATTTTTCTATCTTTTCTAACTTCTGAGATCTAAACTTAAATTTCCACACTGTGCTTTACATTTCATATCATTTTGGCACTAAGAATTTGGTGCAAAACCAGAGAATATGTGCTAACTAAATAAACGTTTCTTTCTTCTAAACACTCTTCTGCCTGAAACAGTTTTGGAATTGTAATGAAAAATTCCATTTTGGTCACTCCTGAAAGTGAAAGGGTTTATATTGGACAGCTTTGAAGAGAATACAAATCAAACTTGTAATTGACACAGCACAAGTCATGATAATTCTTTAATAATTATAAAATCAAAGATCTTAATAAACACAGTAGCACAGGAAGTAAACAATCAAGTTTGAAATGAAGTGTACTCACATTAAATCAATATCCATGATTATCTCATTACGGTCCACATTATTAGTGTACGTCTTGATTCCACCTATACGGGGAGGCTACAAAACCAAAACAGAGAATGAGTGAGGAGATTGTATTGCTGCATTGTTCAAAGACACATCACATGTAAATTATAGCAAATTTTTTATGTGTAAAACCCTCTGTCTGACTCACCACTTCACCAAGAGAGATTTCTTTGAAGTAGATGGAGCTCAAAAATCCAGGCACATTCTTCTGAATTTCTGGTTCCACTTGTTCCTTTAGGATCTTTACCACCATGTCATTGATATACGGCCACAGTTGAACCAGCATCTGTTGTTGAATAATCACATAATGAGATAAAACAGTGTCAGTTCTAAGATCAAATGTCATTACCTCGAACTTGCTGCATAGGCAGCCAAAATTTTTCCCTAGTTTTATCTCAAGAATGACTTTTTAAGAGGGAAAATTGTAAACCATGTGAGCATGTTAGCCATATTTGCCTAAAGATTGATAGCAAAACAACTTAATAATTGTAAAACTAAAATAGGAGCTGATGAGACCTCAAAGGAAAAATGAGCCATCTGCCTTAACCCTTTAACTCCCAAGATCTGATTGTTAATTCTCCCCTCTTCCTGCTACACATTTCCTTGTAAATTAATTATGAGAACTTGGTGCTAGATCAAGATAGCAGCTTCTACCTAATAAATTTGAATATTCTCGTCACTTATTTGCTGAATAATGTATAGATATTATTGGGAGAAGTTTCATGTTAATCACTACTGGGAGTTACAAGGTTAAGTACATGATTAGGAAAATTTAAAAGAAAGAGTTGCATCTCATTGGTTGAAAGGGTGACTCAGCAGTACTGCCAAGATGTAGTACCTTACTTCTTGTTTTTAATACTGGTTGTATTGTTTTTACCTTGTTGAGCCATTCTGCTCTTTCCACATCAGGAAAGAAAACCTGGAGGAAAGAAAAAATAGCTAAGATGATTTATCTTGGAAGATAATCTAAATATAATGGTTTATACACTTTACAGAGTCAGCAATAGGGACTTGTAACCAGCCAGCAAAACACAGGCTGGTCTGCCATCTAGCCAGCTACTTTAATGTGCATCATTTCACCTAATCTATTGATGAATACTGGTCAAATTCTTGTAAAGTTATCCAAGAAATTTTTACAGCAGCCATTTCCAAGATTTGAGTGGAATTCAATGCAAAATTTACCCTCAACAAGTTTCAGTGTGAATCACTTCCTTGTTGAGAATTTTCCCACAACAATGTTTTGCAGGCTTGGTGGAAAGCTTAGGACATTTTAACTGTATTGTTCCCAGTCTTCTTACAATCTTACAAAACAACCTGGCATCCAAAATCACCTGGCTACCTTCTATTCCTCATTTGCCCTCTACTTTCAAAATTAATCAACAGCCCTGCCAGGATGATTCATTTGTTTGGAAGCATTAGACCAAACAACTCCACATGTGGGTGCTGTGCCCAACCTTTTTCTTTCACTTGAACACAAAGAAATAAAGATTTCTGTAGGAGGAAGTTATAATTTAGAGGATCCTCTTTCCAGAGGACACCCTTGTGACTAGAAAAAGAATTGAATTCCTGACTGGAAGTGGCCCTTAGATTAACGTACATGTAACAGCATTTTGTTGAGCCAGGCCAGTGGTCATTTTGTTACGAATGGAAAAATGCAAAATAACATTCAATGCTATTTCACACTACTTTGCAACTGTTTTTAAATTATGGATTCATATTGAATGTCTCAAGGAAAGTGTGCACAAAGAGATATAATCATGGTAACATCTAGATAACTATTAAAATATACATATTTATATTGAACAGTGCAAATTTGACACTATTTTATGCATAAAATTTTTTTTTTTAGAAGTTCATTTCACACCCTGCAGTCACTAATTATTTCTAATACTTGTGATATTCCTTTCCCTTAAATGTATTTCCCAGCAACATGCAAGAGGTCTTATTAAAATCAACAAAGGCAACAACGTTATACTAAACAGTACAACTTGAATCAAAAGACAAAATTACTGAATCATTGGGGATTTAAATCCTGATGTCAAATAAAATTTTCACCAAAGTACTTTTCTTCTGATTCAACTGCACAACATTTTAAGCTGTCTCAATTAATCCAACACCTGTCAAATTCAGACTGGAACATTATTACTTGGCACGATATAAAACACATTGGAGTGCCTTTCAACAGCTGAACAGACATTTGGCACAAATGTTCGTCTCGCAAAGTAAGACCTCTTGAATGTTTTATGAGCTTTTGTTATTTGAAAATTTTCTCCAACTTGAGCGAATGACGCGCAGCAAAGTTTCATGTCTGGAGAAGCTTTAGGAGATATCCACTCAAATTTGGTTTATTGTTCGGATAATTTCTCAGGTCTTTGAAGTTTAGTAAAAAGAAAATAAGAGGTTTAAGGATGATTGACCAAACAGCTCTGTGAGATGCATCAGCTAAATATACATTACTAATTTCGATGTGTTTACATCGCTAAGTGACTGCTCCCAGAATGAGGCCCATTGTATCCTCGAGCTGTCCAACAGTTTCATGTCTTAAAGCTCTCTAAACAAGTCCAGACTCGAGGACCCTTACGACATGACGACCCAATACGAGAATAAACCTATTTGTTCCTGCATATAAATTGTGAACGAACCTTCGAGAGAAATGCTCAAACCACGCCTAACCAAATAACATGATAAATAAGCTTTAAAGCAGATTTAGAAGCGGAATGAAGATGAAATATTGTCAAATACTTTGTTAGCTAGGACTTTAACAAAGCTCGTCCATACGAATTAGAAGAAATAATTACGACCTGTAGCTCACAAGTTCAGCACGAGGCAACGTGCACTAGTTAGGATGTTTATCGCATTACGTGACTCTTACAAATCGAAGCCTCGAGGAAGAAATATTTCTCGGGAAATTTAAGTCAGTTTCAAATCACAATTTTGTTGATGACTTAAGCGACGCGATCGATCTAGAAACAAAAGGCTATCTTTGGCTCAAATTGGTTGAAAGCACATTAAATATGCGCTCATTTGCCAAGAGACGTATCTTACCCAAGATGGCAGATCTTCCATTCGCGCCTCAACTACTTCTTGCTCGCGTTCTACAGCTTCCCTGAACGCCTGTCTCCTAGTCTTTCGTTCGTCCTGATTCATACGCCATAAAACATACACGAAAAAGCCGCAGATGATCCAGACGTAACTCAATCCAAACCACCCCATAAACCAGATCAGCAAAGCACCTCCGACTAACTTCAGATATTTTATCACAAAGTTCAAAATTGCAAGTTCTGTCTTCTTCGCTGATGGCTTCTGTTCATTTGGAGATGGTACAATCGCTTCAACGCCAGGTTTCCCCTGATTTTCGGCGGATTTGTCCGCTTTCTCTGCTGCCACAGACGTCGCCATTGGCACAAGCCTACGCTTACCAGACACTATACTGGGTTTGTGCAGAGCTCGCTTGAACTCAATACATCGGCAAAGCTCTCATATGCTAATCACTTTGAGACGTGTCACAGAAACAATAGAGTAAGCGAGCTGTCGGAGCGTGACAAGGAAGAGCGAAAAAAACACTTACAGGCTTTTTTCAGTCTCCACCTGCTTTTAGCAACGTGTCCCTCCGCAGTTTTATGCCGTAATACGAATTTTATAAACAACGCAATGACAACATATCGGTATTGAAAGGAAACGCCCCTTCGATCTTATTTTCCACCTTATGGGCACGTTGTCTATCAATAATTCCCCATAAGCTGTTTTTATTTTTTGCTTCACTGAGATCAACAACTTTGAGCAGAAACCACGAGATTCTCGGCTTATAGGTGCATCTTTTATTTAAACTGCTGCTGGAAAAATCCCAACGAACGTAACACCTGCCGTAACTTAGTGTGTTTAAAATTCAGTGAAAAGTAAATAGAGATATGGAGCTTATAACAAAGAGTTAAACCTTAAAGCATCTCAAGTCATTTGGTAGTCTATACTTATTGAGGATATTTTTGAGTCTGCTGGCTATTGCTTCATCAATCTACAATAAAGTTAAGCATTCAACAAACCCCTCAGGTAAAATATGCAGTCGGCGTATTTAAATCGATTATTCAGCCACCACAAATTAATTTGGCTGAAACGCAGCGGCTATTTAGAAGCAATGTAAATCATTCCAAAAAAGAGTCTCATTTACGGTCCAAGATGAATATAATAGTATAAATTTTGAAAAAAAAAGAGAGACAAATTGAAACATTCGAAATTGTAGAGTTGACCGTTGTTACAATGCGTCACTTGCAAGACAATTGAAGAAAAAAAAAACACTCGGCAAAAAGCAAGAAAAGAAGAAGGAAAAAAAGGAAAACAACAGAGTAAAAAGGGCAAATGAAAATAAGGATAAAATGCAAAGTAATAGTATGACTGATGTCTGGCGAAGAATTCGTGAATAAATGGAAAAATAGCTGGACGATGCAAATTTCAAACGGTGAACAACGAACTATGTTAATTCCTTATATTTTTAACTTATTTGTCTTATTCTTTGTAAATAGAGGCAGATGTTCTCAAAGGGAAGGAGGATTACTTCTTCTGTAAAAAGATAAGGCGTGCTAGATTCCGGGGGGTACTTTCTCATTTACTGGCCATAAGCAAGCAGTTTGTATTTTATGTGGAGTAAGGCTTCGCTCGCGCTGAGGAACCAACACCCACAGATGCAACTCTTATGGTGTGCTTTTTCTTAGGTCTGAAATAGGGTCAGGGAAAAGACTTCTTCGGTAACGTATTGAAACCCATATCCCAAACCAGCACCTGAAGTTTCCATCGGGTGGGAAATAAATATTTCAACAATCTGGATTAACTTTTTGAGTAAAAAGTGATTGCACATGATTACTTTTTTAAAAACCTTGGATTTCACGATTTAACAGACGAGCCGCCTTCAGAAAGACTCAAGGCCTTTTTGACAAGAACACAAGTCAAAATCAAAGATGAAACTGAAGAAGAATTACCTTACCTTGTTGTCGGGAACGGGTATCCGACAAATAAGTCACAGGTTCGCTATCTCGCTCTCTCTCTCTCAAAACACACACCCCTCCTCAGCCGATCTTACTACACTGTTTTTAATCAAGTCCAACGTTCAAAAAAGATTGTCTTTCACTCAATATCAACAACAGCAACGCTTTCCGGTCACGCTATGTCACGCTTTCCGTCACTACTCTCCCCCCTATTTGACACTTCGGTCACAGTGGCAAATATGAATAATCCGAGAAGCGACTACAATAAATGCGAATATGCTCAAAATGTCTCAATCAAATGTTCAAATTTCCAAAGATAATTGTTCGTCATCAACCAGACTCCTCATCACTTGCGATACTTTGAATTCGCGCCCTCGCAGCGACTGCAGCGTCTCTGGTCGGCCTGAAGGTTGGCGCCTCTGCGTTCAGTGGTGCTTTGGGTTTGTCTGTGGTCCTGTCGCAAGATAGCTCCAACGGGTAGAGGTGCTGTATGGGTCTCTCTAGATAAGACTTCCCAGCTCGCAATTTAACGGCCCTGATGACACCATCACTCCCTGGAAACAGCTCGTCTACGATTCCTAACTTCCACTGCCCGCGGTTCTTCTCGTCGCCCTTGATAATAACGACGTCCCCACTTGTTACAGATAGCTGCCTTTTGTTGTGTTTCATGTTGTGCCGCTCGCGTAGTCCCCTTAGGTACTCGGCAGACCACCTTTTCCAGATCACATCTTTGCATCTCGCTAGATATCTTGCACGCTTTCTCAGATCAGGATTCTCTTGATGGCGTGCTTCAGGATCAGGCAACAAGTTAGGGCGTCCGAACTGTAACATGTTAGGGGTCAACAAAGGAAGCTGTAGATCTTCTTCTACATAACTCAGAGGACGGTTGTTCAGCGCGACCTCCACGTCAAGCAGCACGTCCTGCAGTTCTGCCCAGGTGAGGGTTCCATTTCCGACAGACTTATTGAAGGCCTGCTTGACAATACCGACCATCCGTTCAAATTGCCCGCCCCACCATGGAGCTCTACTGAGATTGAACTGCCATTTGATATTCATCTTGGCAAGGTAGTCATGGAGGCGCTCGTCTTGCATTACATTCCGTAGCCACTTTGCTGCAGCTACGAAGGTCCTACCATTGTCTGAATAGATTTTTTCAGGACGACCTTTTCTTGCTATGAACCGCTTCAAGGTAGTGATAAACTCTTCAGTCTCCATGGTCTTGGTTAATTCGAGGTACAAGGCTCGGGACAGGCTACAGGCATACAGGACTATGTACGCTTTTCCTTCTTTGTTTTTGCTGTCACGGTACTTGATCGGTCCGGCGTAGTCTATTCCAACAACCTGAAAGGGCGAGGTTCCCTCTGTTCTATCTGTAGGCAGGTTGCCTGGAGGAGGGTTGGCAAATGCTGATACATGAAATCTTTTTGCATCCATAGCACCGCTTGATAAGTCGTTTAACAAGCTGGCGCAATCTAGGTACCCAATACGTCTCGCGTACGCTGGCCATGGTCAAACCAACTCCCCCATGTAGGGTCTGGTTGTGGAAGTGTGTCACTAGTTTTCCAGTAAACACGCCATCGTCAGGTAGGTAAATTGGGTAGTGGCCCTGAATACGTCCTCGGCACTCGAATATCCCATCTATGTTCTTCTGGAGGTTCAGTTTCATTTGGTCTTCATCAAACTTGATGGTGCCTTGACTCCTGACTTGTGATCTTCTTACCCAGAACTGCAACTGGTTGGCTGTCTCTTCGGTAGTGATTGGTCCGGTGATCCTTTGCTGGCGTTTAGCTCTGCAGTTCCTTGTAAATCGCACAACCCACGAGCAGATTCGGATGGCCTTCCATAAGTCGTACTTGTGCATCACTAGGTCCAGATCGTCATCCGTCTTCACAGTTACGCCCAGAACTCCCCTTATGATCTTGGCTTCGGCTTGTGATTCCTTGGTAGGAGTGGTGACAATATCTGCCGACCAACTCTCTGGGAAAGGTAACCACGTTGGCCCATGCCACCACAGATCTGAGCAGTTACTAATTTGCCCGCCTCGGCTACCCAGGTCGGCAGGGTTTTCCTTGGTACCCACGTGCCTCCACTGGATGTACTTTTTCTCTTGGATTTTCCTCACTCGATTGTTAACAAACTGCTTGTAATCTCCGCCCCCCTTGATCCAGTGAAGAGCTACGCTGCTATCGAGCCAACAATAAACACCTTCAACTGGGAAACCTTGCAGCGCTTCTTTAACGTTATCTACAAGATTGGCTGCCATGTGCCCCGACACTAGTTCGAGTCTTGGTATGGTGAGTCCTTTCTTCGCCAGTCTAGACTTTGCTGTTATGAGCCCTTGTGATAGCCCCGTCGCTTGATGTGTGACGGCGTAAACAGCAGCTGACACGCCCTGGCTGCTCGCGTCCCCAAAGGCATGCAGGTTGATGCTAGTGATCTCTTCTTGGTGCTGGGCAATGCTTCTTGGTACTTCTACCTTATCTGTTAGGTTGTTCTCCCAGGTTTGCCAACGGGTCTCGAGTCCCTGGGGTAGCTCTTGGTCCCATGGGATTCGAGCTTCACACATTTCTCTGTAAAGGAATTTCCCTTCCAAAGTGATTGGTGATGCTAGACCGAGGGGATCGTAGATCTTAGCGATCTTTCCGAGGACTTCTCTCTTAGTTGCTTTCGATATCGGGTCAGGGAAACTGGTTTGTATTGTATCCTCTCGTTTATCCCATGGTACACCAAGCAGCTTCGTTTCTCCTTGCTTGACTCCTAACTGGTCCTTGGCATAGCTCTGGTTCTCACCTTGATGGGTAGTGGGTAGTTCTTTTGTTGTTTCTTCGTGGGGTGAAGGCTGTTCCAGGGCCGGGACATTAGAGTGCCATTTGTGCAGTTCAAATTTCCCAGCTCTGAAAATGGACTGTGATGCTTGTTTCAGGTGTTGTGCGCCAGCCACGGTTTTATCACCGCTGATTAAGTCGTCCACGTAGAGGCTTCGTCGGATCTCTTCAACTTCCCTTGGGTAGACGTTCTGAAGATTTTTTAGGTGCTGATCAATCACTCCCCCAAGCAAGAATGGCGACGTGGACAAGCCGAACAGTGCTCGTGTGAAGCGTAAAGTTTCCACGTGTTTGGTGTCTAGGTCCTTGAGCCAGTGAAATCGCATCACGTCTCTGTCTTCCTCTCGGATTCTCACTTGTAGAAAAGCTTGCTTCAGGTCCCCTGCTAGGGCCACAGGTTGGAACCGGTTTCTCACGAGTACGTTCCAAAGTTTGTTTTGCAATGGTGGCCCAGTCTCTAGGCAGTCGTTGAGGGATGGTGCTTTCTCGTTCGCTCGGGCGGACGCATCGTAGACAATTCGAATCTTCGTGCTCTCTGCCGTCTCTCGAATCACGGCCTTATGCGGGATGTAAAACTCCTTCCCTTCTGGTTCACTGTGCACTCGTTCGACTATTCCTTGAGATAACTGATCTTGAATGACCCCGTCATACTTCTGCAACATGCCTGGTTGTTTCTCTAGCTTTCTGACAAGGTTCTCTAGTCGTTTCAGGCTGCCATGTTTGTTGTTAGGGAGGGGTGGATGATTTCCCTTCCAAAGGAGGCCTGTTTCGTACCATCCTTGCGGGTTTCTCGTTAGCTGCTCCTTGAAT